ATTTATTTATCTGATTTTGAATTGACACGAAGTTTAAGTAAGTAAAAAAGAATTTTAAATCTTGTGATGTTAAATTAATGTATCAAAATATTTTTCAATTCAATGTCTTAAACAGACCAAATAAAAAGTTAGAAATAAAGAGTTGTCAAAAAAAGGAAAAAGAAATTCATTTTTAAACGGATTAAAAAAAATAGGAAAAAGAAATCAAAACGGATGAAGTATCTGATTTATTTATCATCCTTGTTTGTTTATGTCATAGAGGCATTTCTGATCTTTAGTTTCATCTAAAGGGAAAAAAGATAATATGAGGTACAAAAAGTAAAGAATAAGCAAACTAATTATAGAAATATCTCTATCTCAAAAATTTACTAATTTACGAATGGATTCTCCTTAATTTGTATGTATTGATTAAAAAAAAAAGGATACAATGATTCTTCGTTCATTAAAAATATACTTCAAAAGTTTGGAAGATAGAAATCCCGTAAAAACTTTTTTCTGAGCAATGCCTTAAGACTAGGGCATTTCTCAAGAGCTAGTTAAAGCGACTTTAATCCAAAACCTACATGTTAATGCTCACGATTTCGATGTACATTTCAAACAAGTGGCATGCAATTAGAGAGAAGTGTAACTTTCTATTAGATGGCTTTAATCCCAATTGGTGGATTACTAGTAATAAAACATTTAATAAGAGTAGAAAATAATTTCTTTGATATGAAATCTACAACATTTAGAAAATAAACATTTCAAACTAACAACTAGATGAGGATTACCTCTTTGATATAAAGAAGAAGATGCAGGTGAGTCCATTGGTTTTAACAATGAACCCTTTTAATTAACAATTTTTTTTACTTCATCACTAAATTGTTAGTAGTTAATATAATTTTTCACTTCATCACTAAATAGGATTAGCAGCGAATTTGGATGTATGGTAATAATTACAGAATTTGTTTGTCACTAATTCCTGTAATGTGTAAGAGGGACTTTCCCTTACCATTGTTGTAAGCCAATGCTACCAATCTTTTTAAGATAAAGTTATTGACAAAGAGAGATATGGAAGAGTAAATAATGTAACATAAGGAGTTTTTTAAGTACATGACTAACACCAAAAGTAAAAAATTTGTTCATATATCAACAATTAGGAAGATGTATTCAATGTCCATAACTATTTAAAGCTAAAATCAATGAGATTTTGTTGTAGATTCAAGCAAAGAAGGCAACACAAGGGGAGAAAGCAAAGGAATTGGATCTTTACTATGATAACAAGATGAATATGAAGTAGAAGAAGATTCGGATGAATCCATTAGTTTATTTAACAATGCACCTTTATAATCAAGAGAGTTGTTGGTCTTGCTTGTAGGGTTGAGCTGAAGAGGGCGAGGCGCGCGCCTTTGCAATCTGCTTAGTGGCCTTTTTACTATTGCAAATTCATCTTTTGGTATAATAAAAGTTTGGAAACCAGGAAATTCATTTTCACCAACAATACATTCCTTCATGACTTCGATTTGTTATAAGATTCGTAGTCGCTTTTTGAATATTATTAGTATTATCTTCGCTATGAATGATTCGTGAGGGCCTGTCCCCAAGAATTTATAAAGTAGGGGGGGGGACCAATAAGGATATGTTAGTATAAAAAAAATTATTTGGAGTTTTCTTGTTTTAAGTATGCCCCATACTCCTAGGCAGAATTTGTGTGATATCTTAATGGGAACATGGTCCAACATGTATGGACCTATGATACCTTTAAGTATTGTCTAAATGTTGATAAAATTGAATATTTGGTCCTAATTTATTAACAAATGTTGTTTTAATCTATTTGGTAGGGTTGTTTAGCTGGTTAGGGTAATGCGTGTATAAGTCGTGCATGCTTTTTAATTGTAATATTGGACAATACTTATAGATATCTTTAACGACTTTGAAAGTGGGAAGGCAGCCACTAGCACTGAGAAAGATTCTTAAGAAGCGCGATGAGAAGAGACTCTCATATTTAATTACGTCGTAGAGGTGAAATTCATAAGTAACTATCAACGTAAAACCCTGAAATAACTATTTTTGTGTACAACACATGATGAATGAATGAAATATCTTATTGAGATATGCGTGAAAACCTTCATATTAATAATTATCTAAGAAAATGTAGTATTAACCTATATATAAGAAGGTATTCCGATAGAAAATATTTTGATTCGAATATTATTCTTTTTTCTCTAGACAAAAAATTAGTTCTATGCCATGTTTGTCTTTAACTTTCCAGTCCATTTTTTCAGTGCACCCTCCTCTAAATTATCCATTTTTCTCTTAGACAAAATATTATCCATTGTCTTCATTTTGCATTGCAAGACTCCATAACTTCAATTACTAGAGAGTTACGAGAGGAAATTGTAGGTGGTGACTATAGGTGGGGGTCTAAATTTGAGGGAAATGGAATATGTTTTCTAATAACTAACAACATTTGTTAAATTCACATATTACACTTCATTTCAATAATAAAAGGGTAAATTCAAAATCGAATCAAACTTTAAAAACACGAAATTTATTAGTTTGGTTTGATCTAAAAATTAAAAAAATTCAACACAAATGGTTTGGTTTGGTATTTAATTTTTTTTAACCAATTCAATGTTGAAAAAATAAAAATAAAAACTCAAATTTAATTAATTTGATCTGGTTTATAGATTTAAAATTTTTATATAAATAATTTGATTTGATATTTAAAAAGCCGAACCAACACATTCATATACACCTCAATGGTATAGATTATAAAATAAGTGGTGTTTTTAGTTTGATCATATCCTTTGAAAACTATATATTTGTAAAAGAGATATAAATAGAAGAAACGTTTTTACTAACTTATTCATAATAACATAAAAAATAATTAATGATTCTCGATTAGGTAAATAAGGATAATTTTGAAAAATAATTTGATCAATTATTTTAGAATTCTCCTCTACATGTTATATTTGACATTTTACTCTCTTTTAAAGAGATGACTATTCAAATAGACGACTGTCATGCTTTGTGAAAATTTTATCTCCTACACAAGACAAACTGATCCCTACATTTCACAGTTGTGTTTTCTTGAGTGAGGTTGAGATACCCCTCTTTCAAAAGAGCTATAAGTGTTAATAATCTTTTACGCAATAATTTTACCTTTCTGGACATGTCATTTTTTTCAAACTTACTCTGAAGCTCGAGATTTTCAGATTCTCAATGATGGTGGGCCATTATGTCAAAATAAAATAAAATATCACTTACTTTCAAATAAAATTTGATTAAGTTAATCTATATTGGGAGTGTAATCAGCACATATTTACAATTACCAAGATAGATTAGTCTGAAGACTCCACAAGTTGGCACATGATCTTTCTTAATTGCAAATATTTCTGTGCCAATTCAAGATGAGGAGTTTCTTTCTTGAATTTTATATGATGATTTAAATTAATTAAAATTTAATGTAAATATTAGAAAAAATAAAACTTGTGAAAGGATGGAAATTAATTGTTTTGCCTTATTTTTTGTGACATTGTTTAAATTTTTAAATGTAGACAAATAAATATTTTATCAGAATTGTTGTTTTAGTGATATTTTTTTCTTTCAATCATGTTTTGATTACTTCTTTTTTTTTAGTCAAGAATTTATCGAAAATAATTTGTCTATCATATAAAAAGAAAATAAGATATGCATACATTTAATCTTTTTCATCAGACTCAACTTATTAAATTATGTTATTATTAGTTTATTATAACTTATCGTATTTTTATTTAATTTAAAATATATTATAATAAAAATTAAAAAGTCTATCTCTTAGATTCGAACATATCGTGTATTGAAGCACAAGGAATAATAGAATAACTAGATTCAATCAACAAAAGGTTGTGTTAGAATAATGAGTACCCCTTAATTCTTATACAAAGATTTCATATTCGAGTCTTACTAGTCTCGGAGTTGGCTATGTTAGAAATCGCTTTACCTTTTGATTGAAATTTTTCTAACATAATTTTAAGTTTAATCAAATTTCAATATGACAAACATAGTATATAAACTTGGACTCAAATTAATAGTAGGTTTAAGGAGATCATTATTTTTATTAAAAAGTTGAATCACGTTAATGGTTGTTCCGAAAAAAAATTGAACCGAAAATTGAATCAAATCGCAAATTATGTGAAAACGAAAAAACATTCAATTAGTGTTCGGTTTGACTTGGTATGGTGTTAAAAAAAATCCGACTATATTTGAATTGGGTTGATTTTAACTAAAAAACCCAATGCCGGATCAAACAAACCCGACACACACACACACACACACATATTTGATATAACTTGAAAATATTTCTTATATTTTTTCATAGTTTTTATCTTTTAATTTATTATTTCAAGTTTGAAATTTAGAATTTTGAATGATCCAATAAAGATTATAACCGATAAATGTTGGTAATTATAATAAAGCTTAGATCAAAATCAAAATCAAAGTAATACTAATGCAAATAAAAGAAAATCAATTAAACAAATAATAATAATATTGCATATTTGTTCTTTAGTTTCACATTGGCTTAGACAATTAAAATTCATAATCTAATTTTAATTTACTTTAATATTTACTCATGTAACTAATACTTATTAAACTTATTTTAAATTTGTTGTTGTTGTTGTTGTTGTCGTTGCTGTCGTTGTTGTCGTTGTTGCTGTCGTCGTTGTTGGCATTGTAGTGGTTATTTTCATTGTCGTTGTTGTTGTTGTTGTTGCTTTCGTCGCTGTCGTTGCTGTCGTTGTCATCGTTGTTGTCATTGCTGTCATTATTGTCGTTGTTGTCGTTATTGTCGTTGCTGTCGTTGTTGTCGTCGTTGTTATTGTTGTTGTTGTTGTTGTCGTTGTCGTTGTCGTTGTTGTTGTCCTTGTTGTTGTCGTTGTTGTTGTTGTTGTTGTCATTAACCATATTATATTTTGGATTTTTTTAAGAAACACCTTAGATAGTTATTATTTTGTAGGACTAAAGAAATATTTAAAGTACAAGTATATAATAGGTTAGTATGAATCCTTTATGAGAAAAACCAAAACCGAAACCAAAAAACTCGAAAAAATCCGAGATTGAAAATATGACTTTTATTGGTTTTATTTGATTTTTAAATTTAAAAATTCGACATAAATAATTTAATTTGATTTGAAAAATTCAAACCAACCCGATTATGTATATCCTTACCATGATAGAGAGCTATCACAAAAATTTAAAAATAATATTAATTGTGTGGATAGTTCATTCAATGAATCTATAGCATACATGTATCGGATTAAGGCATGACTTAATTTTTATATCTAACTACGATTTGTATATTCTCTAACAAGATATTCTTCATATTTGTTGGAAGACACTCCAATACCCTTGTCTAAAGAGATCTTATTTTATATTATTTTATTTGCTATAAATTTTAAAACACGTTATTAGCATGATATTCTAATCAACTATGGATTTCAATTTCTTCAATCCGCAAGGTATGCATACTAATAACTCTTTTTATACCGTGAAATTTCGTTTACATAATCTTACATATATGTATTATATGTATATCGTATGCTCAATATCTTGTAGTTTCAAAAATTCATGTTATAATAAGTTTATTGGTCGTCTCCGTATCATAAGTTATTCAATGACTCAGACTCTATTCTACTTTGAATGATCTTAACTGCACTTATTTTATGTATTTAGCTGATGTAAATGATTTCATACGTTAAAGTCGAATGAGAAGATATATGAGCAAAACTAAAAATAGATAAATTACATGTTGCTTGTGTTCTAATTAAAAGGTATCTACAAGAAAAGTGTGAATTACATAGGAATTTTTTTGGAAATTCGTGAAAAAGTTTTTTTCTGCAAATTTTCATGCTATTCCTTAGAAAAATTCCCATGTAATTCACCTTATTTTCAATTACTATATGTCTACTTGCAAGTCGTTTCTTGAATTATTTTTGACAACATTGATAAAGAAAAATAAAATGTATCACGATGGCGTATATTGGATTTCCAAACAAGAACAAAATTTGTTTGTGTAACGCAAACATACGAAGTTTCCTAAATTCCTTTTAATGAAAAAAGCTAATATAAAATGATTTAATAATGAAAAGACTATGGGGTTGAAAGTTTAATGGATGACAGAATTGCTCAAAGTTTCAATAATACGATAGCAAGTTCAAACTCTTTTCTTATTATATATTGATTGGTTAAAAAGAGAAATATATATAAATATAATAACGTATTAGATTTGAAATGTTGGTCCTTTAGAAAATCTTCTTCTAAGTTATAGCATATGAGACAAACATTAATAACAGTAATATCTATCTTTCTAGATAATTTATTAATTCTTTCTGGTGATCATTTGTTCTAGCTGATCTTAGTATTGTTGTTGTTCTTTTATAAAACATTTTAAGTATTGCGCTTTGTCATAGATTTTAATATCTGATAATAAATACATATTTTAGGTGGTCCGTACACAATTGTGTAATCAATACTCCTTTCGTTTCAAAGGAGTGACATGTTTTAACTAGACATGGAGTATAAGAAAGTAAAAAAGAGTTCTGAATCTTGTGGTCCTAAATTAAAGTTATATTAAATATATAAAATTATTCTTTTATCTTGTGGCCTTAAATATGCCACGTGGAAATGTAATATTAAAATGTTACCAAAAAATAACTCTTTTTTTTTAAAATAAACTAAAAGAAAACGAGATTATTCTTTTTTGAAACGGCGCGAGTATTATATATGAATATTATTTTTAAAATTAGGATCAATCATGCACAAGTTGAAGATGGGAATTGAATTTCCTTTTTTGGTTAGATAGGATTGTCACTCTAGAAAGAGGTCTCCATTCTTCTCCTCATTCCACTTATTCTTTCACCATTTTAGAATGTCTTTTCTTAATTGTGTACATTAGATATTCAAATGACAACAATTTTCTTTCCTTTTGGCATTGTTTGGTCAAAAAGAAAATCAATTTGATCACTTTTCCATTTGTGATTTATTTTATCTTCTATTTCTAGGATAGGACCTTTAAATTTGCAAAAGTGTTTACTCCATGGGGATGTAGATGGGAGAAAGAGAACAATAATGTTACAAAGAGGAAGCTCAAGTCTATCCATCCATATTTTTAGTCTCAAATTATCAAAAAAAAAGAAAGTGAAATTAATCTTTTTATGATCAATTTTGCCAACATCAATATATTATTTAAAAGAGGCTTAAGTCATATGCGGCCACTTAAAGTTGTCCGGAGATTTCACATGGACACTTCAACTACGATCTGTAGCTATTGAACCCCTCTAGTACTTCAGATTGATACCTATTTGACATTTTATTAATAATCAGCCCCAAATATTAAGTGAGTGAGATACACTCGCGATGACATGGCACAACAACAAATTAAATTATGACATATGTCATGTGGGTCAAAAATATTATTAAAAAAATAAGAAAAAGAAAAAAATATATTTTAAAGTTTAAAAAATAATTGTTAGGTAACCCTTTACAACCCAACCATCCACCCACCAAATAGTGTTCCCCTACCACGGTGCTGCCATCCATTGGAAACAATCCATCATTTTCTCTTCTAACTTAAATCAATTCCGGAAGATTGAGATTCAAAATAAATAAAATTACAACTGAGCAACGACGTTAATGGCGTTGTAACCTTGCTTTCTTTCACAAATCCATAAAAAATAATTTAGTCCAAGACTTGAAGAAGAAAAACACAACCAATTCATTCTAAAACTGAAGAAAAAACACGACCAAGCATATAGATTTGAAGAAAAAAAATGACTGAGCAGCGACGTTAATGGCGGAGATGATAGTGCCAACGACTTAAATGAGGAGGGATAAAAGAATGTATGAAGAAGAAGGTGTATGGTGGCGGCAGCAATGGTGACTGTCGGAGAAAGTGACTGTAACCTTCTTAAGGAAGAAGAAAGAGATTTTTTTTAAAAAAAAAAATTAAAATGTCTAAAGATATGTTTTCACGCGCTCATTTTCCGTGAATCACATTTAAAGTGCCATGTAGGCAAAACGTGTTTAAGTGATATCAATTTAAACTACTAGAGGTGTTTAATAGGTACAAATCTCAATTTAGGTGTTCAAGTGAAATATGCAGACAACTTTAGGGTGCTGAATAGAACTTAAGCCTTTAAAAGACAATCCATAGATGACCATTGACCGCCACATCATTAATAAATTCATTTAGGTGTCATTTGGTTAGGAACAAGTTGCAGCAGTATAAGTTATTCTGGGTTAGCTATTCTAAGATAACTTATCCCACATGTATATGAAATGACTTATTCAATAACTATGATATAAATGGTGGAATAAATTATTCCAAACATGGCAACCAAACAAGATAATTTTTTTTATCACATCACTATTATTTTTAATCCCACACACCAAACAATTTCTTAGAAATATTAAAAATAAGATCAATATAAAACCTAAAGGTGGTTATCGAAGATATTTGTAAGCTCATCGGTGAAAAAAAATTTTTTAATACTATTTTCAATAGTTTAATAACGTTCTAAATCTTTTTCCGTTTCTATCTTTTCAAAGAGAGAAAAAAAGAAGAAGCTAGAATGCTCCAATCATAAAAGTAGAAGCAATCCAATTAATCATGACAACTCAACTAAACTAATTATTTTTTTTTATGCTAAGTTCATTTATTAATGATGACTAAAATCAAAAGTGACAAGCCGTCTAGATCTCTTGGACAATTAAACCAAGAAAATATTTTATCTACTAGTCAAAGGTGGATGACTCCACTTATTAAGGAAAAAAAAATTGATGTGATTAATGACATTTGTCTTTTATAACATTTTTTTTTAACTATAATGTTTAGTCAAGAAAATGACAAAAATCATAACACATGTTTAAAGATAAGCATAAAATAATTTAGTTGTTAACTATGTTTAGTCTCCAATTAGATATTTAGCATTTCATATTTATTAGATTCAATAGAAAAAGTGGATACAGAGATTTAAACAAGCAACATAAAAACTATTGTAGACATTAAAAAGATATAAGAGAGTAAAAGGGGCATTTGATTAAACTGGTAAAACTGGCTTATAAAACAGGTGTTAACATATCAGTGAACCATCGAGCTGTTGAACCATAATCAATAGACAAAGCTAAATGATCATGAACTGAACCACTTCATAGCTTATAAGCTGATCAAACTGATTTTTAAGCACTTCATAGCTTATCCATTGGGTCAACATGGTATTGAACCACAACCAATGACCATAGCAAAACGATTACGAAAACATATTTACAGACAAATGACATGCCTTTAAAACCTAGCAAGAACCAATGTAGGTTTGATGATGATTAAGAACACAGAAGATCAATTATAGAAAAGAGATTCATGGAGACTTCTTTGGAGAAGATGAAGATGGAATAACAGAAAGCTTCTCAGAATTGGATTGAATGAACTAAATGCAATTACATTTGTGACAACTCTTATTTATAGAGCTAAAGATAATTCTAGAAGAAATAACAAATCTAACTGATTCTGTACAGAAAGCAATTATAAAGTTGTGTAACTAATTTTTTTACTAACTCTAACAAATGTTAATTAATATACGTGTAAAGTAAAATTAGATAATATTCCCAATGTCCCCGTTCAAGTTGGAGGTGAACTGAGCACATCCAACTTGTCTAGAACATCAGAATGTTTAATCCCTGTAAGAGCCTTAGTGAGTATGTCAGCCAACTAATCATTAGTTCCAATATGATGCAAAGAAAACAGGCCTTCTTGAAGCTTAGCACGCACAAAATGACAGTTAATTTCAATATGTTTAGTTCTTTCGTGTAATACGGGGTTCCTGGCAAACAATCGATTTAACCAAGTCAATTCTCCAACTACTTTCCGAAGGGATTTGTATTCAGCTTCAGCAGATGAAAGTGAAATAATTTCTTGTTTCTTAGACTTCCAGCTGATTGGACTAGAACCTAGTAGCACAATGTACCATGTACTGATTTTTGCGAATCTGGGCAAGCACCCCAGTCAGAATCACAAAAAGCTTGAACCTTGTAATCATCAGTAGAAGTCATGAGTAAGCCCAATATTGGATCCTTCTTAAGGTACCTAAGCATGTGGTATACTGCTTTCATGTGAGGTTCCCTAGGATCTTGCATGAATTGGCTAAGGTGTTGAACCCCATAGGCAATATCCAACCTAGTATTAGTGAGGAAGTTCAACTTCCCAACCAATTTTCTATAAGAACTGGGATCAGAAATAGGCTGCCCTTCTTTGCCCTGATCTTAACCGATGCATCAAGAGGGAGAGGCAACACTGGTGTATTCAGAACAATGATATTCCTTGAGGAGATCAAGGATAAATTTTCTTTGTGAAATAAGAATTCCAACTTTAGTGTGTAGAGTCTCCAGAAATAAGAAATTGTGCAGCTTCCCTAGATTTTTAATTCTGAACTGGTTCTGTAGAAAGCTCTTTAGACTGTTAATCTCTTCAAGATCAGTGCCTATAAGTAGAATATCATCTACATAAACTACAATAAACCCAATAGAAGAGCCTTTCTTCTTGTAAAACAAGGAGTAGTCATTGAGAGAGTGAGTATGACCCCTAGACTCAAGAGTTATCGAGCTTTCAAACCAACTCAGTATTATGAACCTGTAATCCTTGTGGGACTGTCATATAAACTTCCTCATGTAATTCTCCATGTAGAAAAACATTATTCACATCTAGTTGGTAAATGTTCCAGTGCTTCTTCACATCAGTGGCAATCAAAGCTCTAACAGTAGTCATTTTGATGACAGGGGAGAATGTTTCTGTGTAGTCAATGACATAGTGTTGGGTGTAACCCTTCACAACCAGCCTAGCCTTGTATCTCTCTATGCACCCATCAGCTCTGTGTTTGACTTTGTACACCCATCTACAACCAATGACCTTCTTCCCAGGAGGAAGTGGCATGAGATCCCAAGTGTTGTTGTCATGGAGAGCAGATACCTCTTGCGTCATTGCTGCTTGCCATGCAGGGTTCATAACAACAACTTCATATGATGATGGCTCACAATCATTTGAGACACTTAAAACAAGAGCCTGACTATCAGGATATAGAAAAGTAGAAGTTTCATGGTGATGGTTAGAGAAGGAACCATGTTAGGAGATTGGAGTGGTGATGGTAGGTTGTGGTTTAGTACAAACATAGTCATTTAAGTAAGTTAGTGGTTTGTGAGGCCTGATAGATTTCCTGATTGGTGGTTGTTCAACAGGATGAAGTGAAGGATCTGGTAACTGGATTGGAGTTGTAACACATTCATTGTCATGATCACATTGTACATTATGTGGATTGAGCATAGTAGCAGAATTATCATTAGTAATGTTAACCACATAAGAAGGAGAGTGGTCGAACACAGGAAAGGATAGACTGGGAGAATTAGGAGGATTCATTTTATCAGGGAGAGAAAAAGGAAATACAGTCTTATGAAACACAACATCCCTGGACATATGGATTTTGTGAGTGACCAGATTCAATGTAGCCCTTTGTACCAAAAAGATATCCTATAAACACATGAGGAGTAGCTCTAGGATCAAATTTGGTTATGTGTGACTTAGGTGTGGTGGGATAACACAAGCAACCAAAGATTTTCATGTATGAATATTGAGGTTCTTTGTTGTACAATATTGAAAATGGGGACTTGTTATGCAATACAACAAATGGTAGTCTATTAATAATAAAGGTTGCTGCGAGTATGCACTCTCCCCAATATTTTGTTGGTAATCTGGATTGAAGAAGTAATGCTCTAGAAGTTTCTAGTAGGTATTTGTGTTTTCGCTCTACTACACCATTTTGTTGTGGTGTGTACGGACATGATTTTTGGTGAATTATACCTTTGGATTGTTTTATCGAAAAAATAATTTCGAAAAGAGTTTGTTTTATTTTTAGAGACATTTTCGACTTTTAGGAGTCGCCACTTAATTTTGAAAAGATTAAGAAAACTTATTCTCAAAAACAACTTAAAAAGGAAAAATCGTTTTAAAAATATTTTAGGGGGTTCGGGATTCATATTAGCGTCTTAGGAAGGTGTTGAAGGCACCTAAGACGCTCCGTTAAATACGATTATCCGGCGATTAACAATTTGACTATTTATTTTTATTTTTTGCAATCTTGAAGTTGAACTTATTAAAGTTTCATTTAGACAAATTACGAGTTTTGCAACATTTATTGTTTTAATATTCCGTTAAAGTTAAACTTTTTAAATTTTAACTCTAAGCAAACTTGTGAATTTGACATTTTATTGTTTTGAGATTCAGTTTTAATTTTTGAGTTCGATAAAGCGAAAGGTGTTCGGCGGGGTTGGAGTTTTCTAATCCTAGACTAACGGCACTCAAAACAAAAAGTAAACAAGTAGCAAAGAGAGATAGAGAGAGAGAAGGAGAGAGATTTGGGTCCAAGTTTTCGGGTTCTGTTCGCCTTGACCGAAACTTGGACCCATTGGGTTTCGACCCATTTCTCTTTCGTACCTGTCCTAGTCTAAGCATATGAAAATAAATGCGGTAAATAGAAACAACAAGGGCTTATGCCCATTACAAAGTAAATACACGACAAAATAAGGCAAGTCTTCTAGTTTGTTTTGGACTTTCTTCAATCTCCATGGATTTTCGAATCTGCACTTCCGTCTTGATAGGTTGACTCGATGAAGGAAATAATTCTGGCCTCCATGGCCCAAGGAAAATGCAAAGGGGCGAAGTCCATAGGACTCGGACAAATTTTCATGCAAAACCAAAAGACAAATGATTAAAATAAGCAAGGCTCCACATGTGTCGAAAAGCAACAGAATATTTTAAGTTAACAAGCCAAAGTCGGTGACTAACAAAAGACAAAAGAGGCAAAGGCTAATGAGACCGATCCTCCACACCCATATTAATAACATGCTGGACATTCACCGAACAAACCACTCACGCAAAATTGAAACAATTCATTTTGAAGGTATGGATGCAATCAGGGGGCTTGTTAGGTTGGCGTAGTCCATCTAAATACAACTTAGACATGTTTGTTTTGACAAACACAATAACAGGGAAGCCAACACCAATTAAGAGGAGAAGCGGACCATTATTTCTTCCACTTTCCAACCGCAAATGGGGAGTCTTTAGTTCTCTCAGAAATAACAGAACAACCAAAGAAGTTTTTTCCAACCGAAAATTGCTAATCCGATTTCTCACGCGTCGTTTTGTGCTCACTGCGTTGCTGCGTACGAGGCTGCAGCAGCAGGTGTCCGTTGCGAATTCTTCCCATCCACGCGCGATGGGGAGAGGAGAAGAGAGAGAGGAGGGAGCGAGCGTGGGGAGACGCGGGGGGGGGGGAGGGAGATTGGCGTCTGTTTTTCTGGGAATGGGGTCGCGTGGTGGGGAAAGGGGAAAGAAAGGGGAAGCGGGTCGGGTGTGTAGGGATTTGGGGGAGGAAGAAAGGGTTGGGTTGTGTTTGGGTTGGGCTGGAGGGAAGAGTGGAGGAATTTGAGATTTGAGTTGAAATGGGCTTGGTTCTTCAAAATGAATTAAAAGGGAAAAAGAGTTGAATTTAAAAGATGGCCAATTGATTTAAAGTAAGACGAATTCGGCGTAAATTCATTAACGAGCTTACTTACCTAGTAATAAAATTTTAAAAATAGTGACTCACAATTTTAAACTAAGATGGACTGATTATCAAAATCAAAATATTTTGGGATGATTTTCGAATATACACAAGATATACCGGCTATATACACAACTATGTAAACACTATATCGTTATATTTTCACAAAATTATAAAACTAATTAATTTAAATTATTTGGAAAATTTAGGAAGCTCGATAATTAATTTATACCGTCGTGGGTCAAAATTGGGTGTCAACATGGATTAAAAGAAAAGAATGGATTCTTGGTTTACAAACTCCAAACCATTGTCGGATCTGTAATTTGAATTGTCGTTTGAAATTGATTTTCAACCATATTAACAAAATCTTTAAGGATATGCAGTGCATTACTCTTACAGCTCAACAAATGTGTCCAAGACATGCTAAAATCATCTACTAGTGTAATAAAATATTTGAAATTATCATGAGTGGAAACATGATAAGGCCCCATAGATCAACATGGAGTAATTCAAATATTTTGGTTGTGTTATGTGATTTGATTGGGAATAGTAGTTTGGATAGTCTTTCCATAGGGCAGATACCACAAGAAAAAGGTTGTTTGACAAAAACTTTTACAAGAATGGACGATATGTTTTGCTTTCATGAGATGGTTGTAAAGTAGGCACATAATGTAGAGAATGGGAAGCAACAATTTTATTATTCTGAATAGTTGTCACTACATTAGGAATGGAAGGACATGGAGTAGATGAGTATTTTACATTTGATAAAGGAGTATAGGAACATGAATGAGAATGACACATACTACATACTTTACTATCATTAGAGGTAGGACATTTATTGGAAGCAAAGCATTTCTTCTGTAGATATGTTGAGCAAAGAAAGTAGAGTCCATCTTGAGCTCTACCAAATTCCAGTGGCCTATCATTGAAGGGCCCTGCAAAACACAAGTGGAATTGGAGAATGAAGCAATACACTTGACGTGGATTGTGAAGGAATTGATTGAGATCAAGTTGTATCTGAAAGAGGGGATGAAGAGTACTTTGTACAATGTGATCATGGGAGCAAGTTTTACAGTTCCGACTTCAGTCACTTTTACCTTGTATCCATTGGGTAAGTTTACTAGCATGGGATATGGTAAAGTAATAATGTCTGAAAAATGATTTTTATTAAAGTCATGTGGTGTGTAGACCCTAAATCTAATATCCACAAATCAAATCCTGTTTTAAGACATTCATATGAAGGTTTGTCAAAATCAAAAGAAGAGTTACAAGTTATCATACCTGAAATCCACTTGCACCCTGATCTTCATTAGTTTCCCCTGTAGGACCCCTTTGAAATTGTTGTAGCAGGCTAAGAAGTTGTCCATATTGATCCTTAATAAGATTGGGACTTGAAATGTGTGGATGTTCATCAATGTGTGCTGCAGTGGTCTCATCATCAATCCCAAATGCATTTGCTGCAATGCCTTTCCCTTTGGCAGATCTATGGGGTTGATTGTTGTGAGGTTCAAACCTTTGATTCTGTGAATTATTATATCTGGTTTGGTCATTGCCATGAGTGTTGGTTTGGGGATAACCGTGAAGTTTAAAGCACTTGTCCCTGATATGCCTTAACCTTCTGCAATAATCACAGAATATTCTTGGTCTCCCATTGTGACTGCTAGTGGACGCAAAGTTTGTTTTGAACTGCTGCCTTCCTTCTGAAGATCCTGATGAACTGGCACTATTCATTGAGCTTGCTTCAGTAAACATTTGATTGTCAGACTTGAATTCTCGCTGTTTTTCATCTGGAACCAATAGAGCAAAAGCTTTGGCTATGTATGGCAAGAGATTCATCATTTGTATATTTCCTCTAATTATAATGTAGATTTAATTTAGCCCCTCCCTCCACAATTGCACACACAACTACACTGATTTTTAGTGTTCACATTGCTTAACTCTTCCCACAACTTCTTCATCCTAGTGTAGTATACAGTAATGTCAAGCACACCTTGACTTAAATCATTGATCTCCTTCTGAATTTGAAACAGCTTTGCCCCATTTGTTTGATCATAACGATCTTCCGACTGCATCCATAACTCCAAAGCATCACGAGCATACTCGACACTGTTAACGATATCCTTTCCAAGAGAATGAGAATCCAAGATATGACTATATTGTCACATCTTTCCCACTGTCGATATTGAGGTGAATTGAGATTTGGTCTCAGACATTTCCCAGAGATGAAGACTAACTTGTTTTTCACAGAGGGACCTTATCACACCTCTCCTCCAAGATCTATAACCCACTCCATCAAATGTTGCTTGAACTAGGAGTAGACTCGGGCTGTCAGATGGATGAATATACAGAGGTTTACTTACATGATAATGTTGTTTCCTGCAGAAGAGTTGTTTTTTGTAGAGTTGTTGCTATGCTCAGTGACTTCTACCATGCTGAACTGATTACAGATTAATTATACATGGAGATCTAAGATCATTGGTTACATATTTACAATGAACAATTAAAGATGGAGCAGCAAATTAAAGGATCCCATAAGAGCAACCTTCCTCTGGTACCATGTCGAATTGATGATTAAGAACACAAAAGATCAATTACAGAAAAGAGATTCATGGAGACTTCATTGGAGAAGATGAAGATGGAATAACAGAGAGATTTTCTGAATTGGATTGAATGAACTAACTGCAATTACATTTGTGACAACTCCTATTTATAGAGCTAAAAATGATTCTATAAGAAATAACAAATTTAAATGATTCTGTACAAAAAGAAATTAAAAAACTGTGTAACTAATTTGTAACTAACTCTAACAAATGTTAATTAACAAACATGCAAAGTAAAATTAGATAATATTCTCAATATATATCAACAATTTGAAAAAATCTATTCAATGTACATAACTATTTAAAGCTAAAATCAATGAGTTTTTGTTGGAGATTTAAACAAAGAAGGCTACACAAGGGGAGAAAACAAAAGAATTAGATCTTACTATGACAACAAGACGAATACGAACTAGAAAAAGATTCAGATGAATCCATTAGCTTATTTAGCAATGCACCTTTATAATCAAGAGAGTTGTTGCTCTTGTTCGTGGGCTTGAGCTGAAGAGGGCGAGGCGCGCGCCTTTGCAACCTGCTAAGTGGCCTTTTTATTATTGCAAATTCATCTTTTGGTGTAATTAAAGTTTGGAAACCAGGAAACTCATGTTCATCAACAACACGTTCCTCCATGATTTTGATTTCTTACGAGAATCGTAGTCTCTTTCAGAGTATTATTAGTATTATCTTCACTCTAGATGATTCATGAGGGGCTGTCCCCAAGAATTTATGGGGGGGGGGACCAATAAGGATGTGTTAGTACGAAAAAAATTATTTGGAGTTTTCTTATTTTCAGTATGCCCCCATACTTCTAGGCAAAATTTATGTGATATATTAATGGGAACATGGTCCAACATATATGGACCTATGATACCTTTAAGTATGGTCTAAATGTTGATAAAATTGCATATTTGGTACTAATTTATAAACAAATGTTGTTTTAATTTATTTGGTAGGTTGTTTAGCTGGTTAGGGTAATGCGTGTATAAGTCGTGCATGCTTTTTAATTGTAATATTGGACAATACTTATAGATACCTTTAACGACTTTGAAAGTGGGAAGGCAGCCACTAGCACTGAGAAAGATTCTTAAGAAGCGCGATGAGAAGAGACTCTCATATTTAATTACATCGTAAAGATGGAATTCAGAAGTAACTATCAAGTAGAACCCTGAAACAATTAGATTTTGTGTAACACATAAAGAATGAAGAAAGTATTTTAATTAAAAAATTATCCATTTTTCTTTTAGACAAAAAATATTTAGCTCTATGCCATGTTTGTCTTTATAGCTTTCCACCCCATTTTACAGTGCACCCTCCTCTAAACAATCTATTTTTCTCTTAGACAAAATATTGAGAATTTTCCTGGTCAGTATACAAAGCTTATACACTGATTGTACATGATTATACATAGAATATACATATATTATACATCTGCAGAGTTTTTTTTGTAATCAAGCGTAGTTGCAGCCAACACAACATGGATCAATTGGGATATCCCTTGATAGCTAAACTCCAAAGATGACATTGAAGCAACACAAAGGGCCATTGAGTTTAATTTAGACTGGTAAGGATTTTGTTGTAATAGTAAATATGCTCACTCAATTTTTTGTTTTGATGGTGAAATGGTTTGTTACTGAATTCAGGTATCTTGAGCCTGTGATTCTTGGAAGGTATCCGAGTTCAATGGTAGAGAGAGTATGAAGCCGGTTGCCTAAATTTTTGCCAACTGAGTCTGCACTCGTCAAACGTTCCTACGATTTCATAAACATCAATCACTATACTACATGGTATGCTAGCAAAAACAAAACCAACATAATTGATGTTCTGCTCAATGACTGTTGCTGACTCTGGTGTTATTACCCTTCGTATGTCGTTGACAACTCTATTAACTGATTCATGATTCATTCTACTTATCGCGAAATTCATTGTTCATTAAAAACTAAAAATATTTTTTGGTTGTGCTATCGTATCTTGCAGCATTCAAAGGTATAAAGCCAATAGCAGACAGGGTATGTAATTTTGTATCTTTTATATCTTGAATTGGAACGATATTTATGTTCTGTTATACTATATGTTCTCTATAATATCCAAAAAGTGTACGTGCAATAATGATGATATTATATTACAGGCAAGTTCAATATGGTTGTACATAGTTACTCATGGTATTAGAAGTTTATTGAACTACTAATAGATTTCTTATGATCATGGAGCTAAAACTCCATTGTTGCATATCTCTGCAACTCTAAGGAATTTACCGATGAAAAATCTAGAAGAACAAGAAGAAGAAGACACAGAGAGTATTATTCATATGCACTGAATACAATTTTAGTTCCTATTTATAGGAATCATATTATGCTATGTATTCACACTTTAGGAGTTATAGTTAGTTATAACTAACTACAAGTGTCTTAACTACTTTCCTGACTCCTAACCAACTAACAAACTTAACTACTTATTGGACTATGTAATTCCAATACCCCCCTCAAGCTGGAATCTCTATAGACATTGAAGACTCCAAGTTTGTCTAACAGTCCATGATGTTGAGTAATTCCCAGTCCTTTGGCTAGAAGATCTGCTAGTTGTTCCTTTGTGTTAATATATTCTGTTTGTATCATTCCACTTTTGATTTTTTCCATCACAAAATGACAGTCAATCTCAATGTGCTTGGTCCTTTCATGAAAAATAGGATTAGCTCCAATTTGAATTGCAGCCTTACTATCACAGTGCAATTTTACAGGAATTATCACATTCACATTAAGTTCTTTTAGTACTCCAAGTAACCATGATTTTTGTGATACTGCAGCTGCCATGCTCCTATACTCAGCTTCTGCTGAACTTCTGCTGACTATATGTTGCTTTTTGGATTTCCAAGAAATGAGTAAATTCCCTAGCTTGATTACATATCCTGTTACTGATCTTCTTGTGTTTGGGCATGATGCCCAGTCTGAGTCACAGAATGCCTCCATTTCATTGCTATCTTCACTGCTAAGTAGTATTCCTTATCCTGGGCATCCTTTAATGTATCTAACCAATCTTAATGCAGCTTCCCAGTGAGACACCTTAGGTTTTTGCATGAACTGTGATAAAACTTGTACTGCAAAACATATATCCGGCCTAGTAGTTGTCAAATATAACAATCTACCAATTAATCTCTGATATGTAGTAACATTTGAATATAAAGGATCATCTGTCTTTGCAATGACTTCATCATATTCAACAGTAGTTAATTTGACACCTGACTCTAGAGGTGTGCTTGCTGGTTTTGAACCTCCATGACCACAGTCTAAAATCAACTCCAGTGCATACTTTCTTTGACTGAGAACAATACCATTTTTTGATCTTAGTATTTAAATACCAAGAAAATACTTTAGATCACCAAGATCTTTCATTTTGAAGTTACTATGTAATGTAGCCTTTAGATCCTGAATCAAAACACTACTATTTCCAGTTACAAGAAGATCATCTACATAGATCAACATTGCTGCAATATCACTTCCAACTCTCTTTGTGAAAAGAGAATGATCATAAGAACTTTGAGAATAACCAGCAATAACTAGATCCTCAGTTAGCTTAAGGTTCCATTGCCTAGAAGCTTGCTTCAAGCCATATAAAGACTTCAACAATTTACAGACTTTGTTCTCCCCCTGCCTCTGAAATCCCTGAGGCAAGTCCATGTATACTTCTTCGGTGAGATCACCTTGAAGAAAATCATTATGGACATCAATTTGAAAAAGAGGCTAACCATGGGATGCTGCAACACTAATCACAGTTCTCACAATGACCATTTTAGCCACTGGAGAAAAGGTTTCATAATAGTCCAATCCTTTTTGTAGATTATAGCCTTTGGCAACCAACCTAGACTTATATCTTTCCACCTCACCATTGGCCTTAAGTTTAACTTTATAAACCCATTTTGAACCAATAGGATGTTTACCAAATGGAAAATCCACTATTGCCCAGGTATTGTTTTGCTCTAAAACAGCTACTTCAAACTGCATTGCATCTACCCATTGTTGATGTTTGGATGCTTTCTTGAAGCTGGTGGGTTCCACTATAACTGAGAATCCCTTGATAAAGCTATGATAAGATGGTGTCAAGAGTTTATTGGACAAATTATTAGCAATAGGATATAAACAATTCATATTGGACTTAGTTGAAACTAAGTAGTCCTTATGCCAAAGAGGAGGCTTAGAAGATCTGGCAGTCCTTCTAGCTGGTGCAAGATCACCATCACTTGTGATATCATTATGTTGTGGCTCCAACATATTATTCTCAAAAGAAGGAGCATGATGTGCAACTTAGATTGTATAGGATTGATCAGTGTCTCCTCAACATGTTCCTCAACAGAATCTACAAAATTTGGAGATATATTAGCATCTGCATGATCAAACACGTCCATTTGTATGGGAACAGTATGATCTGTGAATGATGATACTTCTTCTGTAGTAAAATCTTTGAAAGGAAATGAATTCTCCATGAATGTAACCTCCCTACTTACTGATATAACATGAGTCTCCAAATCCATGACTTTGTATCCTTTTTGTGTCTCTAAGTAACCAATGAAGACTAATCTTTTTGCTCTTGGAGAAAATTTATCTCTCCTTGGCAAAACTGATACAAAACATAAACATCCAAACACTCTCAAATGTTCTAGATTAGGTGCTCGTTTATATAGAAGTTCATATAGTGACTTCCCTTACAGTACAGTTGTAGGCATTCTGTTAATCAGATAAGCTGCAGTTTTAACACAATTTCCCCAAAATTTGATAGGCATTTCACTATGAAACTTCAGTGCTCTGGCTACATTTAATATGTGTCTGTGCTTTCTTTCAACAACACTATTTTGTTGAGGTGTATAAGCACGTGAACTTTGATGAACTATTCCGAGAGAAGAAAACAAAACACTACATTTAGAGTTAAAAAACTCAGTGCCATTATCAGTTCTTACAACTTGTACTTTAACACCAAGTAAATCTACTGAAATCATCAACAATTGTCACAAAGTATTGCTTATTATCATGGGTAAGAACTTTGTAGGGTCCCTAGAGATCAATATGAAGAAGCTAAAAAAATATGAGTTGACTTAGAATTACTTGTAGGAAAACTCAATCTACTTTGTTTTGCCACTGGACATATATGACAGCAACTGTATGTGGTGATGTTGAAGTACTTCTTAAGAGAAGGTATTTGTTTCATAACCTCGATAGGTGGATGTCCAAGTCTGAAGTGCCACAAGTCAGTCAAATTTGCATCCTTTATTGATGTTGAAGCTGAATTAACCCTTGCTCTAATAGTACCTTGTAGTAAGTATAAACCATCAACCTCTTTACCAATCCCAATCACCTTGCCACTGTAAAGTTCTTGCAATACACAAAAGTAAGGAAAGAAACTCACACTACAAGATAATTCCTTGGTGAGTTTTGCCACAGATAGTAAATTGAACTTAAAGTCAGGTACATGAAGTACATTCTTCACTGTCTGATTTCCAAATATGACTGAATTGCCTGTATGTTTCACTTGAGCTTTGCTTCCTGTTGGCAACTGAATTGTACTCGGGTGTTCATTCCTTGTGTTTTTCAATTCATACATGAGCTCCTCATATGAAGCAACATGATGAGTAGCTCTTGAATCAATTATCCAGTCATATGCTGAGGATTTAGTCTGTAAAGAAGTATTACCTTTCAAGTTAGCCTTGCAGTCACTTTGTTCTTTGTTGTGTAATAAATTCTTCATTTGATTGTACTCTTTCTTTGTGAATTCAGACTCCTCCTTCTGTTTATCTACTGAAGCATAGTTAACATATGGCTTGAAATTACCAGTGTTGTTGTAAACATTACTGTTATAAGTTCCATGTGATCTAAAACCTTCAGTATTGTTCTGATATGATCCACAAGAATCTGATTGCTTCCTCTTGGTCTTGA